CGAGGGCACGACCGAGACGGAGCGGCTGGACGACGAGCGGATCCCGTCGGACCAGTGTGGCGCGTGTCCGTGGACGGCCGACTACGCGTGCCCCAAATCGCCCACGCCCGGCAACTTGGGGTACGCGTGGGACGACGGCAGCCCGTGCTTCCAGTACTGTTGTTGCGAGTGCGGCTGGGTGGAGGAGTACGCGTGCGCTTGGTCCGAGACGCCCGGCAGCAGCGGGTACGCGCGTGACGATGGCAGCATCTGCTATGCCATGTGCTGCCGACCGCCGGAGCCCAATAACCACAACACGGAACTGGCGGTCGGCGGGGTGGTGGTGGTGGCCGCTACGGCGGCCGCCGTGGTGTTTTTGGGGTAGCAGTCCAGGTGTGTCTGTGCGTCACCATTCTGTCGTCGCTAGAGTACAATTGTCTGACAGGTTCGGCACCGGGGGGCCCGCCTCGGCATACAAAATCTGCCTGCGAATTTCGCGGCTCACAGCTCAACATTTCTTCTCGCAGAAGCCAAGTAAAGAAACTTTGCTGCGCCCGGACGGCCGACCAAAAGCGGGAGGCGACCCGCAGGAGGCTAAGGGAGAACAGACCCCCTGGACAGGCACCGAGGCGCGCGATGTCGGTGATGGACCCGCCCAGCCCAGCCGGCCGCCGGTGGTGGTCGGTGGTACGTGCGAGGTACCGTGAAGAGATCGGCGCTCCCTCGTCCAGAGGTATGTTGCACGAGCCCGCTCCGCCCTCCTTGGCTCTTGCAAAGCAGAGAGCGGAGAATCGACTGGTGTTGGATCCTGCGACTGGCGAGACGTTCGCACGCAGCCGCCGCGCGGCCAAGCTGGCCGACTTTGAGGCGCTCGGGACGGGCGCATACACGTATATATCTCTGCTGCACCGGCTGCGTGCCTATTTTGCGCTCCTCGCGCTCTTATCCGTCTCGTCGATGGTGTCCAACGCGTACGGCGATGAGCTCGCGGACAAGCAGACCAGCCTTCAGTCCTGGCTCTTTACCGGCACCTCGCTCGGTAACGCCGACCAGGTCGCGCCGGCCTACGGTGCCACCGAGTTCCTCATCTCGTGCATCATGACGGCGTACCTCTTCTTCATGGCCGCGGCGCTTCGGCGCGACGCGCGCCGGGTCGAGCACAAGCACGTGACGCCGGCGGACTTCACCGTGCAGGTGAGCGGCCTCCCGCGCCACCTCACCGCCGCACCAATCAAGCGTGCGCTCGAGGCTGCGCTTGAGCTCCGCGGGCCTCACGTCGCCATCACGGTGCCGTTGCACCAGCGAGAGCTCATCTTGGTGCACCGCGAGATCCGGCTCATCTCAGAGAGGCGCGAGGCGTACAGCACCGACATCCACGGCTTACAAGCTGCGCTCCAGCGGAACGGCCGACTCTCGCCGCGTGCTGCGACTCGGCTTGAGCAGCTGCGCAAAGCCCTGGCCAAGGTGAGCGCCTTGCGGGAGGAGAAGCTGGACAAGGCGGCGAAGCTCGCGGCCACCTACGGCGCGGAAGGGCCAACTAGCGCGGGCGTCGCCTTCATCACTTTTGCTAATGCAGCCGACGCCATCTCGCTCGTGAAACAAGGCTTGATGAAGCTTCCCGAGATTCGGCCAGAGCCCTTCCTCTGTGGACGCGCCGCTGAGCCCTCCGACATCATCTGGGAGAACCTTGGCAGCACCGACGGGATGGCGCGCCAGATCCGCGGCACCATCTACATGTCGTTGCTTTCCCTAGCGGGGGCGGCCATCATCGGCTTCACCGCATACGTCCAGCCCAAGGTGCTGGAGGCGCAACACAACCACGCGGCAGACACATTCATAAACTTTTTTGGCACCACCATCCTGATCTCGGGATATCTCGTCGTCTTCATCGTGGTCCCGATCGTCGAAGTCTCCCTGATGCGGCACATCTCCGTCACGCAGAAGGAGGTGTCGCAGGCGATCTACGCCGCCAGTTCGGGAGAGTGCAGAGGTAGGTGCTCCGAGCGCTCACACAACACGCTCCCACCTAGGTGCTCAAGCTCGTCGTGTTCCAAGTGATGGCGACGATCTCGACCATTGGGTCGTTTGTGGCCGACACGGCCCTCTCGCTCAACCGCGACTGGTACATCTTGGGCGGTTTCATGCTTGTGAACGGCATGATGGTCGACCTGTTCATGATCACGTGCATTGTCCAAGGGTGGGGCTTGATCCGCAACGTCGGCCGAATCTTTTACGCGCCCAAGGCGCTCACCCAGCTCGAGATGGACGCTCTCTACGCCGGGGACGGCGCGGATATGTACGTGGTCGACCGCCTGCAGATCGTGACCAAGTTCGCGGTCATGTGCTACATCTGCTCCGCCGCCATACCGTTGCTCCACTGGGTCGTCCTCCTCGTTATCGTCGTCTCGATCGCGATCGACGAGACTAACCTCCTGCATCGGCTCCACCCCGCGCCGCGGACCGACGAGTCTTGTGTGAAGGTGGTGCTCACATTTGTGATGCCACTCGCTGTGCTGCTGCACCTCTGCATGGCGCGCGTGTTCTTCGCGCAGCTGCGAGACGCTGAGAAATTACCCGATTTGACTGCGGTGGAAGCCTTTGTCAAGTCGCTCCCCAACGTGTCGATGTGGGGCGACCTAATTGGCTTCCGCACCGAGGCGGACGCGGGACTTGACTTTGTCTCCTGGAGCATGTGGGTCAACCTGCCGTTTGTGCTGCTCTTCATCTACCGCGAATGGCGGCCTTTGTGGCCGGGGGGGACAGGGGTGGCCACGCCGCAAAGCGGGCCGACGAATACAAACATTGACGGCACGCAGCGGGGGACGAGGGCGCCGCAAATAAAGACTCGTGGGCGGCAGAAGCAGCGCACTAGCCCCGGCGACGGGTTGAGCAACCTCCCGCGCCATTTGGTTCATGCGGCTGCGGGCTCGTTCAATGGCCTCTTCACCTCCTTCCACAACGAAGCGCTCGACCTTAAGTACACCGACCTCGAGGATCACTACCGTGCCTCGCGCCGAGAGGCAGAGCTTCAGTACGACCCGCCGGACACATCGAGCCTGCTGGAGGAGCTGCAAAGGCGGCGGGACGGCCACAAAGGAGGACACTCCGGTGACGAGGGGGACCGTCTGTGATTTTTTCTTCACTAAACTGCGGCCGGAGAAATATCACACGATGGGGTCCCGTACCATGCGGAATCGACCCCCTCAAGTGCTCAACCGCACAAGGAAAAGAGGGGAGCGCGCCAGTGGCCCAGCGCTGCCGCCCTGCGCAGCGCGCTGCGCCGCCGGCACGCGCGTTGGCATACGGCATACCCGGTAGTCCGGGGTAGAAGGCTGTGGCAACACGAGGCCGCAAGTATGGTGCGTGATGTTCTTTCCACGGCGGATTTCAGGCATGCTCGCGGTGCGTGGGAGGCCCGACTGTCACTGAACCTGCGCGTTTTGTCAGAGCGCTGTTTGGCCAGCGCTTCCTCTCCGTCGCGGTGTTCATCTCAAACCCAGTCGAGAACGACGTGAGGTGCTTCGGGTGACCCTGCAGGATGTATCCACGATCGTCTGCGATGAAGCTGGTTCGGTGGCTCACGCCCTTGGGCTTGGCACACGCATGTTTCGCACGGCCATCTGCTGGCACTTCCCAGTTGTTGTTGCGCCCTTGTCGCAGCGTAGTGCTATCGAACTGCCCTGCGAAGTAGATCGTGGACATAGTGCCACGGGTTTGCGCTCGCGTGCGTCTACGCACGATGTCGTTTCGCCGAGGACCCGAACCGGCCGAAACACCTCTCCGACGGTGCGACGGACGCGCTCGACTATCTAGATATGAAAGTTTCCCACACAACCCCTTCTCTCTTTTCTCCCAGTACGTACTCTCTCCCAGTACGCTAAAAGTACGTGCACTTACCTCTACAAAGCGGCCGCGGGCCGGGAGAGTTTTTGAAAACCAACAAGAAATCTCCCTCGCGGAGGGGTGATTGATTAGCAGCTGAACGTGCGTGTATGTGCATGTGTATGGACATGTGCATGTGCATGTGCATGTGCACATGTGACCTACCTACCAGTACCAGTGTAGATGTAGTATAGTTAGACGAGCGTCATCTTGTTGAACAGGCCGAGTTCGCGGTTTTGACTAGGGTTTTGAGCGCCCAGCGCAGACTGACCGACCGGATGTAGGGCGTAGGGGTTTTGTCTCAGAGTTGCATGCATGCCCGCCAACCAGCAAGGCCTCGCACCGTCTCCTCCCCCCGCGTCGCCGAGTCATCCCCCCCCATCGGTTCCCTCGCTCGTCAGCTGTCAGCGGTCGCTGCCTCTTTGGCGTCGTCTCGTCGCCACACCCTTCCGCCTGCGTCCCCACGGCGGCGGCCAGTCCGGCGGTCTCGTCACGCACCTCTAGCCGTCGGCCTCCGCCCTGGCATGCGGCTCCCTTCCCACCCACATCGTGGAGGTTAGGCCTCGTCTCTACACGGGGGACGGGCCCGCGTCCCTCCCTCAGGACTGCCCTCGCCGTCGGCCCCCAGCCTCTCTCCGATGGTACCGCCGCCCCTCCCCCTGGGGCCAGCTTGGCGGTTCCGACAATCCGGGGCGTCGGGGGATCCGCCGCGGTGCTGTAGGCGCCTGGGGCCATGCAGATGGACCACCCACACCACCCCTCAATCCGTTCTTCTCTGAGCATCGCCCGCGCCGCACTGGCATGCGCGACGCTGACAAACTTGGGGTGTCCGGAGCAACACCCACCGCCCGCACTTGGAGCACTTGGAGTGCAGTCATTAACCTCACATCCAGGGCCGGGGAGCTGAGGAGCGCCCAGCGGGCCGGATGATCGGGATCGGGTTGCGGGCAAGAAAGAGAGCCCTAGCCCTGGGGGCTGGGGGTGCGCGTTCGCAGGGAAGGGGCCGTAAAGTAAACACGGGTCTGTGTGTGTGTGCGTTTCGGGGCCCAGAGATAAAACTTCTGATGCCATGCATGACCTAGTAGTGTCCCCAGCTATGGGCGTGTCCACGTTGGAGCCAGGTGTGGTGTGGGCGCGAGAATAGCTCCGCCGTTCATGGAGGCAACCGATGCGAGTCGACTGGTGTGTGTCGTCGTGGTTTCGTATCAAGAATACTCACTCACTCACAACACGGGTCTCCGAGGGTTAGTTCCGTGTACCGGGTTTCCCCTTAACTGCAGAACGCCCCCTCTACTCGGAGCTAACAGACACACAACACTGTACTCCACGCACGTACACGGAAAAAAGAAAGAAAGAAAACAGACACGCCAAACGAGGGATGGGACGAGGACAGGGTCCCCACCTGCACGAGCAGGATTTTGGAAGAACGATCAGGGGGACAGGTGGGGCTCTCCTGCTCCTGACAAGGGACACGACAGGCTCGCAGCGCGGTGCGCGGTGGACTCCGTACACGGATACGCCTCATGTGCTCGCGAACGAATTTTTTTTATTTTATTCTTGATCGCAAATTTCCGCGCGCACGAGAAATGGCTGGCCGAGGCCGCGGGCGCGGACGCGGCGGCATGCCCATCAACTTTCCCGACGGCGTCCTCTGCCGCGAGCCGGGCTCTCGCCGCCGGGCGCCGCTCCAGCCGCCGGCGACGTGGGACGGCCGCGGGTACGAGACTGCGCGTGACACCGACCTGCTCGCGGCGTGGCGGACGCTGCGAGAGCACCCGGCGGCCGTGGCGAGTCGCATAACCCGCGCGACGCGTGTGCGCGGCGTCGCGCGCTACTCGGACCGCGGCGCCGCCAGGCCGCACCTGACCGCGGGCGCGTTTGCCGCGTCCGAGCACTGCACGCTGCGGGTCGGGGAGCACTATCCGGCGGAGCTCAACCCGAGCGGTGCCGCGCGGTCGGCCAAGCGCGCGCGCGCCGCGGCCGGGCCGGGGCTCAGGCTGCTCCGCGGCGCGTCGTGGGCAGCGGCAACCGAGCTCGAGGCGCTGGAGGCGGCCGCGCAGGCAGGTGCGGAGGGGGAGGGTTCTGCGAGCGAGGTGAAGGAGGGGGAGGAGGGAGCGGAGGAGGGAGCGGCCGGCCGCCGGGCGGACGGCTCGAGACGCGACCGCGACGACGGCGACGGCGAGGGCGACGGCGAGGAGGACGGGCTCGAGGAGGACGAGGACGCCATCCTCGGCGACGAGAACGGGTTCGACGGTTTCGAGGACGGCGGAGACGACCTCGACTCGGGCGGCGAGGACGAGCCCGAGTACTGACACACGCGCTCCACCTGCATTTGTGATTTTGACTGCCTCCGTGTACGTTGTGTGAGATCTGTCGGTCTCTCGGTCTCGCTCGCGCCTGGCGCGTGGCGGTGGCGCCTCTCTGCCTCTCGTCTCTCTCCGCTCTCGCGGGGGCGCGGCTCTCAGAGATGATACAAGCATACCCCCTACCTCCACGAAGAGAGAAGACGGCCTGTGCGTGTGCCGCGCTTCGAGGTAAGCCGTGATTGAGCCATGACCGCTGACCTTGAGACGCTGCGCTCCTCGGAGCGTCGGCTCCAGCACGAGCTCGCGCAGCGGCGGCGGCGGGAAACCTCGTTTATGCTGCGGATCGCAGTCAAGGAGCGCGAGGCGTGCGAGGCGCAGGAGGCCCTCAAGCGCGCGGCAGTGAAACCGCAGCACCGGCAGGTGGAGACGCTCATGCTCGACCCGGCAATGGCGGGCGAGATTCGCCGGCTGCGCGAGGAGGTCTGCCATCCCTCCAGCCCCCATTTGCTCGACTGCCCAGGTGAGAAAGTGCGCACCCTCGCCCGTTTGTTTTGGATCTCAGTTGAAGGCGTCGCAAAAGCGAGAGGCCGCGCTGCGCGACGAGCTCGAAGCGTCTCAATTCCAGTGCGCGCGCTCACGACGCGGCCCATCGGAAGCGCTCCCTACCCACGCGGTGCTCCCTGGCAGGTCGGGATCGATTGCCGGAAAGAAGCTGGTGCAAAAGTGCCGCGAGCTCCAGTCGGAGAACGAGCAGCTCGGCAAGGACGTGAGCGAGGGGCGGATGCAGCAGCTGCGTGCCGAGGTGGGAATGCACAAGGACTATGCGAGCGAGCAGCGCAAGTCGATAGGCGCGCCTCCCCTCCCCACCCTCCCTCCCCTCTTCGGGCCCAGCCCGTCCTCGCTGCGACGCGCCGGCCTCACTCCAGTAGGCGAGATGCGCGAGTGGATCGAGCAGCTGAGCGACGAGCTAGAAGTTGCGCAGGGCACCATATTCTCCTTGCGGCGCGAGCTCAAGGACGAGAAGGCGATGCGCGAGAGGTCCTCGCGCGATTGACCGCGTGCCTGCCTGCCCCTAGCCCTACCGGGAGCAACCGTAAATGAGCCGTGAGAGATTGTCCCTCTTTTGATCGAAGAAACCCGAACGCGCGAGGCTGATTTTCCTAATTTTTTTCTTTTTTCCCATCAACAGCGTAGATGGATCTGGCCTCGGGGCCGATGTGACCAAGAGCTGGTAATGGGGAATTTTACCTCACAACCATGGTCTCACAGTGGTGCCGCCAGTCGCCGAGCAGTGTCGCTCAGCCTCACACAGCCGCAGCACAAGTGACTGAGGGCCAGTGAGGGCGAGCCCATCGCTGTCACAGCTGTGGAAGAGGCCGCGCCTCGCGCTACTCAACCCGGTCGTCCCAACCTCTGCCTACAGCCTGAGCGTAGCTAAGATGCTCCGTGAGCTCTGCGACGCGATTGATTGTCGCGTCGCCATCCACGAGTTCGACGTGGCGTCGTCGCCCTTTGACTCTGCCCTCATCGAGCACTTTGACGGCTTCATCATCCCGGGCTCGGTGGCGTCCTTACCCTCTTGCGACGCAGGTTCCGACCCTCTGCGTGGCCGACTCACACAGCGAGCCTTCCTGTCTCCCTGCTGCCGATTCATTGGTGGTGCTCAGTCAAGATATTGTAGAGACCGACCAGCTTCTCGGCCGGGAGGGCCAGCTCCTGGGCCGGGACGGCCATCTTCTCGGTCGTCATCTGAGCCCGCAGAGCTGGGGTCAGGCCAGACATTGGGGGGGGGGGGGGGGGGATAGCAGGCGACTGCGCGGCAAGAGGCTACAAGAACACACCTTGAACGCCGGCTCCATCTTTTCAGCCGCGACGAACGACTCCTCGAGCGCTGGCGCCGGGGCCAGCGCGTGCGTGGCCAGGGTACCGGCGAATGCCCCGCCTGCAACGACGGCATTACTAATTGTGCAAGGGGCATGCGGTGGGAACAGGGCAATGGGCTTGCGCACCAAAAGCGGCGGTGACGACGAGAAGCGTCTTCATGACGCCGCTCTGATTCGTCTCCATCATGGCTGCCTGAGTCCATGCGTTCTAGACATCTGAGCAGGGCGCGCGCAGAACGGGCCCGGACAGCACAAGGCACACCCCGCGCGCGCGCGCGAGCAGGCGCGAGCAGGCGCGCGCGAAAGCAGGGTGTGCGCCTCCGCCACCGCCCTCGCCTCCACCGCCGCACCCGCCACCACCCTTTCCGCCACCACCATCCCCACCACCGCCCTCTCCACCTCAACCGAGCCCTCCGCCCTCACCTCCGTCCGCCTCCCTCTCCGCCACCACCATCTCCGTCGCCGCCCCCTCCGCCTCCGCCCTCTCCGCCACCACCCTCTCCGCCTCCCCCATCGCCGCCGCCGCCCTCTCCTCCTCCGCCACGCCAACTTCCCCCGCCCCCGCCCCGGGCGAGGCAGCGGCGAGGCCCTCGGCAGCCGCACAGTAGGCTATGCCAACTGTGCAGGGCGTGTGAGCAGCAGAGGAGCTGCCCTCTAGGCTTCAGGCGCAAAGAGCTGCATGCCACCGAAGGCGCTGTCGAGGTTCACCGAGCGCGGCGCAGGTTGAGGGACACCGTCACCGACGAGCGCGTTGGACTTTTGACTCCGGACAAAGACGGCGACACGCACACGAGCTGCGGCCCGTGTCGCCGTCATAGCGGCGAGGCGCGGGACCGTCTGTTGCGAGGTGGGTCGCGTCCTCCGATTTCCGTCAACTCACCCTCCACACCTCTACTAGTACCAGTGATGAAATATAAACCGACTTACCACGCGCGCGCACGCGCGCGCCGCCCTCCTCGACTCTCTCGCACCCGCCCCGACCCACGCCCCTCGAGATAGGCGGCTGCGACCCTGAGAGTGCGCAGCGGTGCCGCTGGCGTGCTCACCACACCCGCCCATCATGCCTGCATCATTCCTGCACGCACTGCCCGGTCTGGTCGGGGCGTGGGGCGAGATCTGGCATGGCGGCGCGCTTGAAATGAGCGCCTTCGATCGTCTCGCGGCGACTGCTCGCAGGCCGGGCGGCCAGAAACTGTGCCAAGCAGCCATCCGCCGAAGCGAGCGCGCCGGCGGCGGTCCGCGCTCGGCTCAGTGTCTTCAAGCCCGCCGGTGGGCAACGATTGACATGCGGACAGCCTCGCCCCCCCCCCCCCCCCAACGAAACACCCAATCTCTGCACCACTCGTAACCCCCGCACCATCTCCGTCGCTTGGTTCCATAACCTCTGCCACCACCGGGAGGCGGCCAGGGCTTCATAGACTCGGTCGAGAGACCCCAGATTGGCATCCATGCCTCTCTGCACTCTCGCCACAAGGACCCCTGGAATTGCGAATCCTCGCTTTCCTCCCGCTGTGATTCTGTGTGAGCTCTGTGACTGTGTCTTGTTTGCCAACAATACACATCAACACTTATAACCAGTTTTCGGGTGGTTTTTGCTCCGGTGGTGAGCCGGTGTGTGTGCCAGTCCGCGCCAGTCCGCGCCCTTGTCGTGCCAGTGTGCTGTGAGAGAGGCCGGTTTTAATAATTCTTTTTCGAAAATCAGCTTCGGGGAGTCTGGCGGTCCCGCTCAGTGCGTTGGGTAGGTAGGTACGCGGTACGGACGACAGCTCTTGAACGGCGACCAGATGCTTGGGTTTGCAGTCCTCTCCCGGCATCGCGCCCCGGGTCCCTGCCTTCTACTCTCACCGTCGCCACAGCCTCGGAGGCTGCGGGGTCACCTTTGCTGCTCGGCAGCAACCTACGACTCGAATGAATGGTGGGATGCGCGCGCGGCGGTTGAGGAGGAGCACGTTGACGAGGAAGAGAGAGGTCCAGACTCCTCCTCGCGCTGGCTGAGGCTCGCGGGCTGCGACGTGCTGCCTGCGCCTCCCGGCGCTCCTTGCAATGGCGTGATCCACTTTGTCGGCGGCGCGCTTGTCGGCAGCGCGCCGCAGCAGGCCTACGGTCCATTCCTAGAGGGCGTGTCGGACGCCGCGGGCGTGTGCATCGTGGGGACGCCATGCACCGGCCTCGAGACGGGCCTCGATCACTGGCAGGCCGCTTCCGAGGTCATGCTGCGCTGGAGTGCAGCGACGACAGGCGCGCAACCCCCAGCCCCATCCTTCTACCCTCCGCTGCATCTGGTCCCTCCGCACCTGCCGCCTCCCCCACACCCGCCCCCTCCGCACCTGCCGCCTCCTCCGCACCCGCCCGCTCCGCACCCTGCTGCAGACCTCGACGCCATGCTCGCCGCTCGCGAGCAGCCGCCGCTCGCGCAGCTGCCGGTCTTCGGATGTGGCCACAGCCTCGGCGCCAAGATCCTCCTCCTGCTCGGCTCGGACGCGCGGCTCGCCGAGGCGATCGGCCCGCGCCGCGCCAATGTGCTCCTGAGCTTCAACAACTTTCCGGCTCGGCAGAGCGTGCCGCTGCTCGAGCAGGCTGTCGGTCTCGGGAAGGACAGTGGGCCGGTCGGCGCTCTCGCACGCTTCGGCGCGCAAAACGCCGCGGCGGTGCTCGCGGGGAACGCGGGCCTCGGCGAGGCGCTCGGCGCCGGGGCGAGCAGCGGCTTGCGCGGGGCGGCGAGCGCCGTCCGGCAGGGCGACTTTGGCGAGAGGCTGAGCAGCGGGCTCGGGGCGCTGGGCGTTGGTGGCGTGAGCGGCGGCGGGGTGGCGTCCGACCTGGCGGGTGGGCTCGACCAGCTCGCGAGCGGTCTCGGCTGGGCGAGCGAGCTCCTCGGCGCCACGAGTCAGCGGGCGGCGGAGGCTGCCGCTCCCGCCTCCACTGGCGGCCTCCCGCTCGACGACGAGTTCACGCCCGGTCCCGCGGAGACGGACGAGGCGGTACGCCGCAGGTACGGTGTCGGCCGGAATCTGCTCGTCCGCTTTGCTGACGACGGCATCGACCAGAGCAGCGGCCTCGCGCGCCTTCTTCAGTCGCGTTTCACCGACGAGGTGACGGGCATCGGCGGGCGGCTCGACTTCAGGAAGCTCGAGGGCACGCACGTGACGCCGAACGCGCCTCGGCTCCCCAGCGACGCCGAGATCAGGCGCATCCTGTCGGCGGCGGGCATGCCTCTAGACCTCGCAGACGCGGTGGGCGGCATCCGGGAGGTAGCGTCCAAGGCGGCACGGGAGCGCGAGACGGCGAGCAAGACTGTCGCGGATTTTGTGCAGTCGGAGACGCAAAAGGCGAGGGAGGGCTGAGAGATGCTGCACGCGCAGCGAGTTTCATGTTCTTACATGCACATGCATGCACATGCACATGCACATGCACATGTGCATGTGCATGTGCATGTACGGGTCTCGGCTCTCCATAATGACGAGAGGTAGAACGCGTAACTTTACTTGTGAGTTGTGTACACAGCGAGAGTAACACCCAGAGTGCAGAGAGGGCTGGACCTGGTCCTGGACGCTGGAGAGAGGAGAGCGAAAATACGATAAACGGGAGAAAAAAAGGTGGAAGGCGTCTTTTTTATGGTCGTCCTCTGGTCGCCCTCGCCTTTACGTATTACGACGCCGCGAGAGTTGTCAGCGTGGCATGTCGGCGAGCACGGGGCTGCACTCGCGATCCTGGCCCTCCGGGTGCGGACAGCGCGTGCGTGTAGTACCAGTGGTACTGCGCTGACGGCGCGATGGCGACGCGTGCTCCGCGCGCGGCTCCGCACGCGCATGGCAGACTCGTGGCCTAGGCCATGAGAGGAGGCAGCGCTGAGTGGTTTGGCATAGATTCGCAGACACGGAATCAACGACCCATGCCTGCAGCCAGCGAAACGCGGTCTGCGACTGCGGAGGCGGTAGAGCAGCCGCCCGCAGGCCCAGCCGGTGAAGCACCTATGTAGTACAGCATGAATCGTGCTCTGATTGTGTTGTGCATACTCCTCCGCGCTGGCGCTCGCATGCCATCGGAAACGACAGTTGGTCTCGGTCAGAGTAGCATGCAATCTCGCTCAGCCAGGCACAGCCCAGCGCAGCGTTGAGGTGCCGGCAGCTGGTAGATGAACCGTCGCGCACAAAGTAGGCGCTGTCGATGAGTGCCGCCGTTGAGAACGCATCGATCTCCGGGACCGCGGCGCGATACTCCGCCAGCTGAGTATGGACCGTGGAGAGCGAGTCGGACACGGACTTCCGCGACCGTGCGGACTTGATCACAGTGTCGGCATGCAGCGCGAGGGTGAGGCTGCTCGGTGGCAGCCGGGAGGCGCGCTTTCCAAACGCGTATCGATGTGGCGGCAGCCGCAAAAACGTTGCGCATGCGCCGCCTGTCGCATTCCTCGCCGTCAGGTGAAAGTCGAACGGGCGCACGCGCCCTGGCTGCAGCTTGCCGTCCGCCCAGAGCAGCACTCGCGCCCACGGGAAGAAGCGGTCGCCCAACATCTTGAAGATCTTTACATTGCGACGCATGGCCGGGCCAGCAAAGGGAAGCTGCGCTGCATCGAGCGCAACCTGCACTTGCGCCTCGTTTTCGGTGAGCAGAGGGGCGGGAGACGGCGGCGGCGGCGCGAGCACGAAACGAAAAAAGCAGCCGGCCTCAATGACGGGGGGACGATTTGTCGGAAGCCTGAGGAAGCAAACGCGGTCGGTAGTGATGAGAGGGTGCACCCCTCGGGGATGTTGACTGGCAGCAGATAGCGCGCGCGCACGCACCAGCCGGTTGAGAGGGACGCCGAGTAGCCGACAAACGAGTGACACCGCTGGGCGTACTTCTGAGCCAGGACGTCTGTAATCCATCTCAAGTATGCAGTGGCGTTTGACGATGAGCAAAAGGAGCACTGAGGCAGGCCGCCGCCATCGCAGTCCGGGGTCGCAAGCCAGTCGCGAGCGCCCGAATTGCACGCGTGAAAGTCGTTCGAGGGGGTGGGGCAGCGCCGCGGCGGCGCACGCTCTTGAGGCGCGCGGCCGCACGCGTGCTGAGGCCGAGGCACATACATTTCGTTCCGAACAAACACGTGCGGCAGTTCTCCAAAAACGAGAAGAGAATTTTAATAAGTGAAATAGAATTTTTCAACAAAACTCCGTCGCACGACACTGGGCACGGGAAGACTGGCAGAAATAGAAAGCGCGAAAGCCGGCTGAGGTCCCTAGAGCCTAGTCCCTGCAAGCAAGGCCTGAGGGCGGCTCGCCTGAGGCCAAGTAAGATAATGAGCACCTCCATGTTTCACCTCGCCACCAACAGAAGCCGTCGGCTCGACGCGCATCACGCACCCACCCACCCTCACGGGATGATTCTTGCGCGTTGAGGGCCAGGCCCGGCAGCAGCATATGGGGCAAGTCTGAACGTCGACGAGAGTGACCGAGTGTCCCAGGGTAGCGTTGGTACCATGCCAACATCATTGTACATTGACAGAAAAGGAAGAGGCTGTCGGAGTACGGAGAGAGAGAGTTTGTTGTTGGCTTTCGTAACACGAAACTTCAACCTGAGTGGTGAGTTGTAGCTATGTTGTTAGAAGGTGAGTGCTGAGAAAATGGCATAGGTAATAAATTAAATTTAAGAGAAAATCAATGCTAGTACTTGAGAGAGAGATTTTTATCAATGAGTATTGTGAGCTCACAACACTACACTGTGGGGGGTGCCCGAGCATGATGTATGTGCGCGTCTATGCGTGTGTGGGACAGACGTTGTTGTCCTATGCGCGGGGCTTCCCGCGGGGACCGAACGTAACAGCAGCAGCAACAGCAGAAAAAGAAACAGGGCGAAAAAACCAGCTGGAGTTAAGGGAGTACACGTACGAGACGCCCTAAACGCCCTTACTGGAGTCACTGACAACCTGAGGGCGGCTCGCCTGAGGCCTGACTTTGCTCACGGCTCGCCTGAGGCCTGACTTTGCTCGCCTGCCTGACTTTGATGGCGTCCCACGGCGAGGCTCTCCACAACGAGGCGGCGAGCATCCTTCTCCAGATGGTCTCGCCACCGCCTCCGCGTCCGTTGGTCAACCTCTCGCCTCCGCGAGCTGCTGTCGCCAGCGTCTCGCCGGCAGCCCTCCTCACGCCTCGACGGAGCAGTCCAGTACTTCCATCGCGCGCCCGCGAGCTTCTTTCGGCGTCGTCGACCTCAGGACTCGCGCTCCAGCTGTCTCCAGGGCAGATGAGCGGGCGCAAGCGGGCGCGGTCCACCCACGTCAAGCAGCCCGCCCACGTCCGTGGAGGCATCGACAAGAGCCAGTGCGCAAGCTACTGCGCGCGTTCGGGCTGGTGCGCGAACTGTACCAAGTCTCGCCCGCCCGCCACTCGCGAGCTCGCCGCGATGTCGCCCGCTTCCTCTAACGCGGCGCCGCCGAACTCTGTCTTTCGTACGGAGCGACTTTACAGGGCGCGAGCCGCGTGGAAGTCGCTGCTCGAGCAGGTCCCGCCGCCGGGCAGTCGGCAGGTCTGGCTGCCCCCACGCGAAATCGTGTTCACAGCCACTGAGCACGGGATCCTGCCTTCCACCGCCCTCGCGCTGCGCCAGTCGTACGCTGTCTGCAGCACCGAGCAGGCCCGCGGCGGAGGGCAGTCGGCAACTGCGGAACTCTGCGCCGTGCTGTCTGCCGTGGGCTCCACCTTCATCGCCTCGGTCGACGAGAGCTTGCAGAGGAGCATGGTGGGCTTCCCGCCCGCGGCCCCACGCAATTTCATGCCGCTCGCGCAGCAGACTGTGATCGCCACCTCTCGCTGCCTGCCATGATCGGATGTCGACAACCAGACACAGGGGGTCGCACACCTCAAGTTGCATCCGTCTGACACAAGAGGAGTGCGCGACCCCCGGCTAGCACCCCTGTCAAGTAGGAGCGGTCATATGTAGACGTCGGCCAGCACTCTCGTGTGCTCTGGGGGGAGGCGGGGGCCCTGGAGGGTATCCATGCGGGGGGGAGATGGGGTCCCACGGCTCGCCGCAGGCGCCGATTTTTCCGGACTTTTTTCTTTTTTGCGCGATTTTTTTACTTGTTTCATGGGAATTCGCTGTAGAGCTCTACTTGCGGCCATGCTATCACGCCTTGCGACAGCCTGTCGGCGCTGCTGACCGTGCAATGCTGCACAATTGACCACCTGCATAGCTCGCGGCCTTAGTATCAAGCATTCAGTGACGACCTGATCCTACGGTCAGTAGGAAGGTGTCCTTCTATCGTGTGCACGCTTCTGACGCAATGCGCGTCACAAACTGCCTCGGCGACTGGCTGCTGGCACTCTCGAGGCTATGCCTACACAGCCTCGCGCGCATGGGCAGTCAAGAGGGACCATGCACTTTCTCAGGACTGCGCCAGTGCCTCTCTCTTGGACCGGCAAACGTGGTGGTCTCGTGTCACCAATGTGGGACCAGTGCGGCATCGCGCCATCGACAGCTCTGAACTGCGCCTCACCACTGACCGGGAAGGCCGCCAAGTGGGCCAGCACCGGTCACACATTGTGGCAGCAGTCAGCAGTTGTCTGATAGCTAGAGCAGCAGCGTCAGGGTCGCAGCGTCGGATCGTGTCAAGCCTCTCGCCCGGCCGGCCGCGTGCAGACGTCGGCCTGTCTGCTGTCTGGAGTGATCTGTCGGCGGTCAGTACGACCGATCAGGTTGGAGGTTTCTCATGATTGGAGGGTCTATCTGTATGTACTCCTCGAGATCTCTCCAAATCTGCCCTCTAATCAACCGTAATCATTCGGGAAGTTGGTGGTATGAGCGAGTATGAGCGCCGGGGCCCCGTTTCCGCACTGCGGCGCGGCGCACGGTGCCTCCGGGGGCCCCCGCCTCCCCCCAGAGCTCGTGTGCCTTGAGGGGCGAGAACGCGAGATATCGTGTGCATATATCGATCTCTCTGGTGAATCTATTACACTGAAGGCTTGCATATCTCTTTTTCGTTGGCGGTCACTGACACTGTATCTGTGTCCCCCAGGGTACTCCTGGCCCGGGAGCGGGGCCGACGAGCGACGTGTGGCATATTAACCATGATCCCCCGGCGCGGAAAATACCGAGGAAAATACAGAGCGGCCGCACATTGCTCGGTACCCCCCCTGCACTTCTAAGCCCGTCCCTGCTGCTGGTACTTTCAGGCGGGACATACGCACCGCCTCCCTGGGCGAGCTAGACACACGGCTAAGCGAGCTCACGCCCCGCCCCTTGCCTCAGGCCAACCCATTTGCGTCAATGCCACCGGCGGCGGCGGCGCCGTGGCTCTCACTATTTGCAGAGCACGAGACCGTCGGAGGCTCCGCATTCAACTCTCGCTGGATCCGGAGCTGCTACGGGGACAACGCTCTTACTAAGGCCATTACCGCAGCGCCCATTGTTTGCTCGGGCACAACCGCTGGCACGGTTGGCGCTTTGGATGCCTACATCGAGGTGATGCTCGAGCAATTTGACCGGACGCAATGCACTCTCCATGGCTCTGATCAGGGATTTCACGTGTACGCCATTTACAATGGGCTGCTGCAGCAGCGCAACGTGAGTGTGGACGTGGTACCAGCCGGCTCAGGTGCGGTGCAGAACCTTGCTGGTCTGCGGCCCAGAAGATCCACCGGCACAGGAGAAATGATTGCGCATCGGCTCGTGAGCAAGACCATTGTGCCGGTCGGCGGAGCATTCCGCGTGCTCAACAGCGATGGATCAGCCGCGGCTGTGGTGCACCAGTTTGATCGGTTTCCTGAGCTGAGCCGATGGGTGCGTAGCAGGTGGAGCCAAGGTTGAGGTTTGGAGAGTATTGGTAAAGCAATTGAGGCGTGATATGTTCAAGGATATGTTGGGGAGGCAACTCGCCTCCTATTAAGCGAAAAAGACGGAAGGGCTCTTACGAAAATGCACTCGCATGCACTGTTACACCGTCCTCGTCGTCCCCAGAGGGTGGAGCATGTGCTGTTGTTCAGCACGCATGCCCCCTCTATGTACTATGAGCCCCCAATAAACACACCGAGACGATCGAGGGGTCCCGTACCAAGCGGAATCGACCCTTTCGAGCTCGTGCTCAGCACATGCGACGAGTCCCACTGAATTAACATGTGGCATGTACATGTACATGTTGTACATGAAGAGAGAGAGTGACATGAAACATGCGGAAGGAATGGACGACAGACGGACGTCGCACAGGATCGTCGCGTCCCATGCACCAACACTTGCGCTTCTGGCGCAAGAGGCCACCGCTCAGCCCGACGCAGCCGCCCTCTGCGTTGGGGTCGTTCCTTCTCCCACTGCTGCTGCTATTGCTGCTGCTGCTGCTGCTGCTTCCACTGAAAAGGTTGTTGCTGAGGAGAAAGGCGAGCGCCTCGGACGCTACTGTTGACCCAGTGCAGCTGTCCGCCTCCGCCTCGCTCCGCGGCCTGCTGCAAGAGCACGCGGAGGCGCTGTCAGAGCTTCGTAAAGCACATGTCGAGGCGGGCGGATCGATCGACGAGCTGATTGACATCTTCCTCCTCCGCTTTCTGCTCCAAGCAAAGGGAGACCTTGGGCGTGCGAGACATCGTGTGACCGAATCGACCCGGTGGCGCGCGCGGGATGGGCTTGCTGGCTGTCGCCGTAAGGTGCTTGCGGGAGCTACGCTGATGGAGCTGAATCCAGCCGTGCCCGTACTTCTCACCTCCCTCAGCACTCTGGTCCTGCACCGGACGTCTTACAGCGGCGGGCCCATCGATCTGCTGACGCACGACTCGTTCGATCCGGAGTACATAATGCGCCGCTTGACGCCCGATGAGTACCGTGCAGCCAATGCGGCAGTGAATGAGTTCAAGACGGTGCTCGCCGACAAGGCGTCGCTCTCGAGGGATAGCTTGGTCGGGTACTCATTCATACTTGACTTTCGCGGCCTCCGATTGGCCATGATCAACATGCGCTTTCTGACGAGCTACTTCCACAAGTACGTCTCGCTCGACGAGCACTTCCCGAAGTACATCGGCTCGGTCACATGCGCATTTGCCCCCGCAATCTTCGGCATAGGCTATCGCGTCGTCAAGCAGTGGCTGTCCAACGAGTTGCAGCAGCAAATACAGATCGAGGGCCCAGCGAGCTCTGCTGCTGCTATCTCCGCTGTCGCGCCGCCGTCGAGTCTTCCTACAGTCTTTGGTGGCTCTCTGGACTCCATGCCCGATGACGTCATCAAGCTGGTCGGTTGGACCGCGGCCCTCCGCGACGAGCGCGCCAGTTTCGACGCGGGGTCGAGGCTGGGGGGGTACGTGCCAGCGGGGCATGCCAACGGGGCAGGGACGACGGAGCAACGCCAACGGAGAGGCGGGCATTCGCAGAAGAAGAAGCGCGGGTCGAAGGCGGCTGCCTCCGCAGCGTGACACTCTCTCAGCTACGTCCTGCAGGCCGAGCCGCCCCTCGTGTGGGCGCGGGTGGCGCCCGGCCCGCTATTCACCGCCGCGGCGAAAAAAAGTAAACACAAACACACAGATTTAAGTAGAGCCGACCGCTCCGGAGAGAGAGATGGGCCACGGCCCACGCACAGACACAAATTCCCCCCCCCCCCCCCCCCCCGCGCCTCGGCCTCGCCCCCTCGGATCATAGACCATATTTTTCCCTCCTCGATCGTACAAGTCTGTCTGTATGTGCACAAAAATATGTATATAGTGCAGCCTGTGAGAGGTTGAGCGAGCCCTGGAGGCCCTGGGGATGGGGTGAGACTATCCGCGGGCCTGAAGGCCCGGCGCAGGGCAAAAGAAAAGAAAGAAAACGGACAGCCCAAGGGAGGGATGGGAGCGCAGGCGCAGGGCGGTGGCACTTAAATCCACCGCACTGTGGCGCGAACAGCTTCAGCTTTTCTCGCCCGCTCTGCTGAGGGCGAGGCGCCGAGCTACGGTTCCAACGCTGCAGCACTCTCCCTCTATTCACAGCAGAGATGGCGACGCGTCCTTACGCGCGTCCTCGTCCCCACCTGCTTTGCTTCAACGTGCTGCCATGGAGCCAGCGCGCCTCGCGCCATGATTCAATCGCCATGGCCGGAGCGCTGTGGATCGCAAAGGCCCATGGGCCGCTGCGCAGGGCGGCACGCGCAGGCGCTACACAGATCAGAGCATTGGCGCCGAGAGCATTCATTTCCGCATTCAGTTGTCGTTGTTCTGTCGGCTCGAACAGCCCGTACAGCCATTCAGCGGCTGGTGGACGGCGCGCAGTCTCCACGCGGATCCGCATCTCGTGCACACCGCAAGGCGCCGCCACCACATGGACCAGCCCGATGGACTGTGTTTGTGGTCGGGGTGGACAGTTTGCTGTTCAGCGTATCATTGAGCAGGATGAGATGAGCGTCTAGTGGTGACGCGGGTAACGGGCGAGGTCCTGGGTGCAGAACCCGCCCTGACTCTGCCGATCCACTGGATGCGACTCAACTGCTGATACCGAACTTGTGCTGGCGGGCAGTGATTTGTGAGCGTATCGTTCAAGATTGGGGTCAGCCCACCCAACGGATGGCCGTTCGGTCGTACGACATTCGACTCGACTGTGGACTCACTCCGTGCCAGTCGTCAGCCGCCAGTTCAACGCTCGCAATGCGGTATGAACGCGGTGTCCGCGGCGGTGAGCTGCGCAGTTGGTCATTGTTCTTCGTTGCAGAGTCTTTTCTCGCTAGGCAACCCACCAAGGCCCATCGACGGCCAGCGCCCAAGGTCTGATTGTGCCCCCGGCTGTGCGTCAGCAGCGGCTTCAGACAGGGCCTGCGCTTGAAGGGGATTTTACATTTACGGGCTCTGCCAGCAATGCGTGGAAGGCGACGCGACGGTTGAAGGGTACTGTCCAGAAGGGCACTGTCGCTCCGGGTCGGGCGACGGTGCCGCAGTGTCGCTCCGGGTCGGGCGACACTGCTCGCGGCGTCCGGGTCCTGCGCCTCCCGACGAGGTCGGACGGCGTGGTATTCCGGCCGCCGCGCCTCGGTGACTGGCTGCCGTAGAAACCAGAAGTACGAGGGCGTTGTCCACCCTAAGATGGACGGAACTCGGAGGGCGTTGTCCACCCTAAGATGGACGGAATTCGGAGGGCGTTGTCCACCCTAAGATGGACGGAATTCGGAGGGCGCTGTCAGGGTCCCCCTCGGGGAGCGACGGCGCCCGACCGTCAGGGTCCCTACGGGGAGCGACGGCTGAAGCGCAAGGGTACTGTCAGGGTCCCTTCAGGGAGCGACGGTGCCCTAATGTCAGGGTCCCCTCTGGGGAGCGACGGTTCGAAGGGCGCTGTCAGGGTCCCCCTCGGGGAGCGACGGCGCCCGACCGTCAGGGTCCCTACGGGGAGCGACGGCTGAAGCGCAAGGGTACTGTCGGGGTCCCCTCGGGGAGCGACGGTGCCCTACTGTCAGGGTCCCCCTCGGGGAGCGACGGTTCGAAGGGTACTGTCAGGGTCCCTTCAGGGAGCGGCGGTGCCGTACTGTCAGGGTCCCTCCGGGGAGCGACGGTTCGAAGGGTACTGTCAGGGTCCCCGCAGGGAGCGATCGTACCGCAGCTGCGGCTAAAGGCCTGCGCTGCCCGCGGCATTCGAATGCGGCGCCTCCCGACTGAGTCGGCTCGCGTCGTATTCCAGCCAGAAGGGCGCTGAGACGAGATCGCGATCTCGGTCATCACGCCATCTAGACTTTAGCGAGGCGTGTGGCGCGCCGGCAGCGCCGCCGCCGTCTAAGGTACTGTCAGGGTCCCTTCGGGGAGCGACGGTGCTGCTGAGCGTCTGCTTGAACTGCTGTCGTCCCGCCAGAGTATATCTCGACTAGCTCTTCATCGAGAAGAGCGTCGACTCGTGCGCCGCCTCGTCGGCGGCGTGGCGGGCGGGCAGCTGGATGTGCTGTCGCCTCGCCATAGGATACCTCGACTAGCTCTCGATCGGCTAGAGCGTCGACTCGTGCGCCGCCTCGTCGGCGGCGTGGCGGGCGGGCGGCCGGATGTGCCGTCGCCTCGCCGGAGTATATCTCGACTCGCTCTACATCGGCTAGAGCGTCGACTCGTGCGCCGCCTCGTCGGCGGCGTGGCGGGCGGGCAGCTGGATCTGCTGTCGCCTCGCCGGAGTATATCTCGACTCGCTCTACATCGGCTAGAGCGTCGACTCGTGCGCCGCCTCGTCGGCGGCGTGGCGGGCGGGCAGCTGGATCTGCTGTCGCCTCGCCGAGTATATCTCGACTCGCTCTACATCGGCTAGAGCGTCGACTTGTGCGCCGCCTCGTCGGCGGCGTGGCGGGCGGGCAGCCGGATGTGCCGTCGCCTCGCCAGAGTATATCTCGACTCACTCTACATGGGCTAGAGCGTCGACTTGTGCGCCGCCTCGTCGGCGGCGTGGCGGGCGGGCAGCTGGACCTGCTGTCGCCTCGCCAGGGTATACCTCGACTAGCTCTCCATCGAGAAGAGCGTCGACTCGAGCGCCGCCTCGTCGGCGGCGTGGCGGGCGGGCGGCTGGATGTGCTGTCGCCTCGCCAGAGTATACCTCGACTAGCTCTCCATCGAGAAGAGCGTCGACTCGTGCGCCGCCTCGTCGGCGGCGTGGCGGGCGGGCGGCTGGATGTGCCGTCGCCTCGCCGGAGTACATCTCGACTAGCTCTCGATCGAGAAGAGCGTCGACTCGTGCGCCGCCTCGTCGGCGGCGTGGCGGGCGGGCAGCTGGATCTGCTGTCGCCTCGCCGGAGTATATCTCGACTAGCTCTACATACTCAAGCCTCGCGAGAGCGGCTCACGCAGGCGCAGCGCCGGCCGGGGAGGCCTCGCAGCTGCCGACACCAGATGCACTGTCGGCGTCGTTCTACGCGGGCCGCTCGTCGACTGATTGACTACGGTTCTCGCGTGGGGGCGCTGTGCTGTGCCGTACCGGGCTCGACCACGCCGTCAAGCCGTCGAAGTCCGAGACGTGGGGAGGCACAACGCCCAACCACGCCAGGGCCCCGTCGAGATCGTCGTCGCCGCGACATCGAGACCTCCGGTGATCTCCGGTGATCTCGGGTGATCTCCGGTGATCTCCGGCGGTCGGGCGGCGTCGATCTCCGAGAGGGAGTCGAGTCTAGCGTTCCTCAAGATGACGCACTACTCAACTCAACCCCTACGCCCGCATCGACGTGGGAGACAAGGCCACCCCTCGATGCTACCTGCTACCAAGCGGTGGGGCAGGAGATTGGAGGGGCCCCTTGCAGAGTTCTTCCCCCTCATCGATCATGGAGGGGCCTCTCGCCGCGATCACATCGGAGGCGGACGCCTCGCGCCGTGTCGCGTTGCTGGAGGAGGCACAAGCCGCACTCTCTAGCGGCGCCGACGCCGGCGCCGCTGCCTCCGCGGCGACAGACCTGCTCGGGCTGCTCGCTGACTCGGACGCAGCAGTGCGGCGAGCTGCGCTGGCGTATGCGGAGGACCTAGGCTCGGCGGCTCCGTCGGTGCTGCCGACGCTACTCCCGGCGCTACGCGCGCTGCTCGGCGACGGGAGCCCGGCCGTTGTGAAGCGCTGCCTGCTCTCGTGCGCTGGCCTGCTGCGGCCGGCGCTCGCGCTTGTCGCGGCCGGTGGCGAGCCTCTTCCGGAGGCGCTCGCCGAGGTGCGCGCGCTCGTCGACGGCATGCGCACCGAGGCGGCCGAGATGATGGCGAGCGCCGCGCGCACCGACGCGGTCCGCACGCAGGCCGTCAAGTTTTGCGAGGCGCTGGTGCTAGCTTGCACGAACGGCGGCGGCGGCGGCGGCAAGGACGGCGGCGACAGCGCGTGGGCGGACGAGACGCTCGGCCGGCTGACCGCGCTCGCCACCGCGCCGCCCTCGCCGACCGTTCTCTCCGTCGTGATCAGCTCCCTCGCACAATCGATCGGACGCGCCCGGCCTGCGACGCTGCCGCGCGTCGTGGAGGCGCTAAGCGCGTGCCAGTCGCGGCTGATGCCTGCGCCGGGCGCAAGCGCAGCGCAGATCAGCGTGCCGGCCGCGAGCCGCGCCAACGTGCAGCAGTCCCTCAAGTCGGCGCTCCTCTCGGTCGTGAAGCATCTGCACTCGCTGCCGGCGGAGCAGTTGGGCGGCGGCGCGGGCGGCGGCGGCGGCGCGGGCGGCGGCGGCGGCGGCGACGGCAAGGCGCGGCTGGAGCGGATGCTCTTCCGCGCGCTGATGAGCATGGGCGGCAGCAACCAGCTGCAGGTGGTGCTGCGTCAGCAGGCGTCACCTCCTAGATGCGGGATGTCTCCCAATTCTCTCCCCCGCATCTCCCCCGCATCTCCGCAGTACCTCCCCGCATCTCCCCGCGCCTCGCCCCTCTCTTGGGCTCGCTCGCGAGCCTGGCTGCGGAAGACAGTTCCGCGTGCCCCGACACGCACTCGAGAGGACACGCACTCGCCGTCTGAATTCGGTCGCCTGTGC